GACTCGCTCCATTGAGGAGTAATTATGATCGGTTCAGAAATCGTCGGGCCAATCAAATTGCCAGGGCGGGCTTTATACGATGATGGACAGATGATCTGCAGGGACGTAATCCTCACGTTATCAAAGAGCGCTTGGGTTGAACTGGTTTCCCTCACAGATGACTGCCGCTGGAGAACTGAGATGTAGATTCCGCTATCGCGTCCGTTGTAAAAGAAATCGACAGCGCATTCATTTTAAAAGACGAACATAGAACTGCAATCAAGGCATTTGTCGATCGGAAAGATGTGTTTGCCGTCCTTCCTATGGGATTCGGCAAAAGTTTAATTTATCAGCTGGCTCCGATGGTAACTAAGAAGATGGGACGCAATGAAAACCCTGTGCTCGTTGTGGTTTCTCCTTTGGTCGCACTCATAGAGGGCCAAGTAAAAGAAGCAACACTCGTTATTTTACTTCTTCCAGCGTGCGTGCATTTGAGTTCTGTAGTTGACAACTGTGCTATGCAAAGTAGTTGACTTACTGCGTTGCTCTCATTGGTTGTAGGTCTATCCAATTGAGTGCAGAGTTTTTTTTTTTCCTGGTTCGGTTAAGACACGCCTCATAATCAAAGCCCTAGGAAGCAGTATCAGACTCACATTCTGACTAGAATATGAGTATGACGAAGTCAGGCTAGTTGATTTGTCAAACCGTTTTGAAAAAACGCACCAACAAATTTTATGTACCACTTGTGCGAAAACAGACGTAAGCCTGTATATCCGCAACGCTTTATCGTTTTCAGACCAAACTTGGTACATGTCATCACAAGCATGACCTGAGGCTACATGCAGCGTTTGCGCGCAGTGCCATCTACTGGTCTGGAAATATAAAATATGGATATTTTTGCTTATAACCTCTGAACAGTTTGTCCAAAAATCATAAAAGTGGTATCGTTAGATTCAGGACATCATGCCAAGTCGACTGATATCCAAATTTACCATATTGATCAATTTAGCCGTTGGCCATTTTGAATTTTGTACCAAAATGCTGCATTTTCTGAACGCATGAACGCATCGTTACGAAACTCGGTATGGGTCATCAGTACGATGCCCTAAAGGAGCCTGACCAGTTTCGAACCAGCGCCACCTAATGGTAAAATAAAATGTTCAAATGCGTATAAATCTGGGTGTGGTTGACTGAGTCATCTCCTTGGGTTCCTGAATCCTTGCCGAGTCCAACGTTTTGCCTTATGGTTTGTGTAGCATTGTGATTTAGCGCTTAAAAAAAACATTTGCCAATATCTTCGAAACCGTTAGACTGATCGAGACGAAACCACCGTCAGAAGTTCGGAAACATAGGTCGATGGAAATATACTAATGCCCAAATGTCAAAATATTAATAGTAAGTGGCATGAAAATGCAAACAAAGTCATGTGTGGGTATTTTTTATGTGTTTATACATATAAATGTCTATACTCCAAAACGGAATTTTACACACACATGTATGGGCTCACTCTGAGGACACATGAAAAAAATGGTGGGATTGCGCGACTTCTTGGCGCTATAATAGAACAAAACGGGAAATTGCCATTGACTTCAAAACAGTTTTGTGATTAAAATGCTTTACTTTACGAATGCATCGGTGTAACATTACGAAACTCATTATGTGCCATCAACAGCATGCCCTGAAGGTACTTAAAGCTATGGTATACGATTTTGAAAATCGGTCGAGAAAGCCTGAATTTTTAAAAAAACGCATCCCGCCCCTCCACACACACACCGGCTGCACAGCTTACATTGGTCAACTTCTCTGCGGCTGTACAGCCAATAGAGTGAATGGATTTTTTTCATTCTTTTTTCTATTCCTATTGTTAGGATTGTACTATACAACCATAACCAGCATCTAAACGAGGATATTAATAATGAACAATCTTTGAAATCGTATACCCTATAGCTTTAAAAGATTTTGAGACAGTGCCAGCTTTTGGTCAAAAGTTATAATTAAATGGACAAAAATGCATTTGCCTATTGCAATGACACTGGTATTACTAGATTCCTTGGGTTATGCCCGAAACCTAGATACCAATTTTGCCATAGTCAGCCAAACTTCCTGTCCGCCATCTTGATTTTCATTCAATACCTACTTTTTCAAACTCCTCCAAGACCGTTTGTCCAATTTTCACCAAAATCGAATCGTATCATCTCCAGACCGTGCTGACTAAATGTTATGGATTTCGTGTCACTAGACAAAACTGTTTTTGAATACTTTTTAGGCTTTATCTCTGCAAACCCTTACGAAACAAAAATATATTGCAATATACTAGAATTTATATTGCAATACATTAGAAAATATATTTCAATATATCAGAAACTGCCTCATATATTTGAAAATATATAACAATATATGGATGGACAACCTATTGCTATATATTGATTCATATATTAAAATACATTGATATACAAACAAAACTGTATTACATTATTGCATGTATGTTTATTGAAACAAAGTATTTTTTTTATGAGTTAAGTAAGCTCATGCATAGGTTTACAGAAAGGTTGATTAACAATAGTCCAAATCAAATTTTTGCATGACATTCATTATATTTTACATTATATAGCCATATGGATGGACCATATATGGCTATGTATTGATTCATATATTGTAAAATGTAGATGAGAGTATAAATTAAATTATCATTAACAGCAACAATTACAACATTTTTTAGTCCACTTTTTATTCCCCCACATGGTAAATTATTGTATACAATATATAATATGATAATTATATATAATATATTATGTAATATAAATCAATATATTTTTCAACATATTTAAGACATGTTTGCATATATATCTGATTATATTATCTGGTACATTGAGGTATATTAGCTCATATAATTTTACATATATATTTTCACATATATGCAATGCCTCTTCCAATATATAATTTCATATAATATGGGACATATTTCAATATACCTAACAATATATTAAATAGTATAATAATATGTATTTATTCAATATATGAAAACGGCAATAATTGCAGTATTGTCCCATATATTGCAATATATTATTGCATATATATAATATATTATTATGTAATATATCATATGATATATTACAATGTAAATTTCACAATATATGGAGACACATGAAATATATTGTCACATAATATATTGAGAAATATATTTTTGTTGCGTAAGGGAAGCCTTCACATATTCACAATAAAACTTTGTATGTGTCATTGTCACCTTACTCTGACCTCATTAAATTGATTCTGTAACTGCGCCACCTATTGGTCGAAAGTGATAATCCAATAAATCATCTTATAAGTTACTGTATATATGATTTTTCAGCCATTTGCCCAACATCCTCTTAAAATGTCTCTAATTGCTCCTTGCTGCAGTTGGTATGGCACTCCCAACCATGTTGGCATGTCTTGTCGTCTTCTTTGCACTTGGCCCCGATAATGGACCCATTTACTTAAAAACTATGTTCTGAAAAATGGGTAATTTTCACTGTTACTGTTGTGTGTTGTGTACAAAGTATTGGAGTCTATGTCTTCGGTTGGGTACCTCATTATATTGTTTAGATATGTAGTCTTACATAAGGTAACATAATCAACTGTGTTTTTTACTTACATGTTTTAAAGTTAACCATGCGCTTTAAAAGCATGGCCTATTTCAGTGCTACATTGTTTGAGTAAAATATACAAACAAAGAGAGAGTGAAATGAAACCGAGTCTTGCAAAGTAAACTTCAAATGAGTAAGTAGAATTTACTCCATAAACTATAATTGGCCAAGTTAACTTCTTTGTTAATTTGACCTAACTTAGTTAATTCCATACATGTGACAGTTACTTAAAAAAAAATATGAGTGCAAAAAGTAGCAAGTAGATTTTTTTTCTTCAGTAAAGAACTAGGCCTTGAACAAGTTTGCACGTAAACTCGAACTCAAGACACACACATACATTTGAACATTTGACCTCTCTTAACCCTCCTATTATCTTTGGGGTCAATTTGACCCCACAATGTTTAACGTCTGTAAATACATGATTTTATTTTATTTTTTTGCTTCAAATTTAATGACTTTTCCTAATTTAATGGGGACAACTCTGTAAACATAAAATTAACCTGCTGATATTTTTTCAATGTCCTGTACACATTTTGTGGCATCGGTGTTCCTTGGGGTCAATTTGACCCCAGGCTCTTTTATCTGTATAATAAAACAGAAAACATATTTTAAAATTTCACACACATTTGTTTTGGTTGTTTTATTGAGGTCACTATAGCATGTTATAATGTGAATTTATAATGTTCATTATAATTTTACATATTCAATATTATATTCAAAAAAGTCCCTCTGTTTTAGGGCTCTAACCTAACATAACCATATCTGTAGTATTGCGAGAACCACTAGTAGTTCACATGTGTCCAATTTTCACCAAACATGTGATATAATTCTCATGAGAACTAATAATTCTTTCCCGTGCCATGGTGTCACGAAACTGCTCCGAGACACGAAGGTGGAGAATCCAAATGCAGTTTTATTAAGGGGTAATCCAAAACAGGCAAGGTCAAACACAGGCAGGCAGTCCGTACAAACAAACACACAAAGCAGGCAGGGGTCAGAGGCAAAAGAGTAATCCAAAACAGGCAAGAAATCCAAAAAGACCAAGAGACAAGAAAACGGGGAGAATGCTCAGAATTGCAGTGTGACACTAAAACAAGACTTCGCGGTGAGTGAATGAATGTTATGGATGTTAACTTAAAAGGTTACTTAAGTAGTCAACAAATACATAAATTACCTGAGACAAACCTTTGTAAAAAAAAAAATATATATATATATATATATATATATATTGTGGAGGTTTAAATTACTGGGGTCAAATTGACCCCAGTGGGTAATAAATGTTATCAGATTTGAGGGTAACAGGAAGGTTAATTGTTGCTATAAATCTATAACTAATATGCCATAAATGGTAAAGTTTGATCTTTGCCCAGGACACCCGGATGTTATTGCCGGATATTATGTGTATAAATATGACCCATCTTCATTCAACAGATATGAGAAGGTTATTGTGTTACACCGGCTCTGGCTCTTCACCAAATCTTCCTCTGATATTCTGAAGGCAACAATTTAAAAATCAAAGAGTTCTGAATAAATGTTCTACCTGAAGTATTTTTTAGCTTTGTCTTTAAATGCATTGAGAATCGCAGTGTTCAGCATATGAGTGCATGCAGACATTTCACTTTTCCTGCTTATTAATTTCAGGTTCATCATGGCAATGCTGAAAAGTTGTCTGCTTCTTTTCATCATCTTCTCCATGGGGGATACACACGGTAACCAAGACATTTATTTGTAAAAACCCTTGCTATTTAAAAATATTTTGGAAATGTACAATATTCCATTGATTAGTATCTGCATGATTAATAAGGGGTTTACAGGGTATAAAGTACACATATTTTCAGCACATAATCACAAAAACATAAAATAAGCTACATAAATAAAAATTAAAACATGCTTTGCGTGAATGATACAAGAAATGATAATGGACTGGGTGAAGTTGTTTTAGACAGAAGATGCCCCGCTACATGGATGAAACTTGGACTCCGGTGCTTCAAGTACTTTTCTCATCCGACTAAGTGGATCACAGCAGAGGTAATGTGTTACAAAAAGAAGATTTGATCACACTTTATCTTAGGTGTCTTTAACTACATCTAAAATACAGATGTAAAGACATGTATGTACACAATACATGCATTGTCAAATGATTCATTTAAAAATGATTCTCTGGTGAAGTAAATACTACAGAATAAAACTAATGTAATTTCTACAAGGAAAAGTTAGCTCAGCCAAGAATAAAATAAAAAAGAAGTAAATTATATATTATACTCAATTCAAGCATGTAAATATCAAGAATATAAAATTAAGTAAAACCTCAACTTGTATAATACTTGTTCCCATCATGCACTGGGGCATGAATAATAAATAAGGTTGATTTTTCACTGTTTTCCAGCTTTATTTTATCATTGCTTTTGTTAGATTAAGTAACTTGCCATTTTGTGACATCTAGATTCGTTTTCAAAATAACACAATCACTCAAAAACGATCAATCGAATGTTAAAGTCATTGTGTGTAGTATTGAGGTGTTCAGGTGCCATGTTACTTTTATTATAGATACAGTATGTAATCCATTCAATATCTATTGTATTATTTGTTTAGATATTTCTAAGCATACACTTTAAACGTGTGGTTTAATTCAGTGTTATATTGTCTTAAAAAGTTAATTTTCTTAAAGTTAGGTTAGTCAAGTAGATGTTACTTAATTCTATATGTGAAATTAAATAAGTTAACTATTATGAAGTAATATTTAATTAATTACTTCAATGTCAATTAAATGTCAAACTAATTTTAAGTCCAATAGTAAGTAGATTTTACTTGATAATAACAGGTTAGTTGTACAGAGCAGTATCAGTAAAAGTTACTTAAAATGTGTTAGTGCAAATTGTTACGAGGATTATATCAAATAAATCCAACAAGTCATTGTTTTCAGTGATATTATTTAAAAACACTTACTATAAAGTGGTTATGTTTTTTTTATAGTAAAACTTTCCTTTCTGCAATTAAATAGTACAGAAAACTGGTACTGAGCAAATAATCAATCAGAGCAGACTTTGTTTGCAAATGTCTAAAATGTTGTCATTTTGCTTTATGCTAAAAAATAGATTTTGTTTTGACAATTAAAAAAAATCTGTCTCTTTAGAGAAACTGTCAAAGTCTTGGTGCAAATCTCGCATCTGTGCGTAATAAACTGGAAAATAAATTCCTGCTGAGTCTGTTGCCTTCTCCTTCCACACGTACTTGGATTGGTGCTAATGATGCTGTAGAAGTGAGTTCAATTGTGTGTCCTAAAGAGACCTATTCTTTGTCTATTTTAACATTTCTGCTTTAAAAAGTAAAGGCAAAGTTTCTAATGAAGATGTTTTGACTTCAAATCTGATCTTAATTTGCTTCTTCCTGAAGTCTGACAACAGTAGTGCACTCTTTTATTCCCTCTCTTCACTCTTTAGAATGGACAGTGGTTGTGGAGTGATGGATCTGTGTTTTTGTTTACCCACTGGTGCGCTAGAGAACCTAACAATGCTAATGGTGTCGAGAACTGTTTGGAGATCAGCTATTCCTGTAAGAATTCAGCCTGATTTTTTAAAATACTTTGTTATAATTTACAATCCTACAATTTTACATCATAAAGTAACATGAAATGACTATATTTAGATTTCACAAAGTGCTTTAAGTTAAATATTCAATTTTATTTTGATTCTAACAACACTATAATGATCAGAATAACTTATTTCATAATTCCTCCTTACAGCTGACCGTTGCTGGAACGATTTTCACTGTTCAAACTTATTATCCTATATCTGTGTTAAGGACCTGTGAGACCGTCATGCTGCTCCACAGTTACTTTGATTCAACTACATCTTTCCGATATTATCTTTTAAAAGAATGTTATTCTAAAATCAAATCTCTTCTAAACATTAATCTCTTTTCAATATCTTCTCTGAAACACTCCTCAAATTAATAAAAACATTGAAAAAGCAAATTGTGCATTGTCAATCAAATTCATTTATGTAAAAATATAAGTATATTGTGTAGCAAAGGTTTGAGGATTTTGTTATTAGGATGGCATTAAATGATGTCATCATCAGGGGCGCGATTTAAGCTGCACACATGCTTCATCATTGACAAAGAAGACATTTGCATGTTTGTTTCCTGGATTATAAGCAAATATGGAACTCATCCAGGGCCCTTTTTTTTTCTGAATATCCCCGGACATATAAAATATCCCAACATTTCGGTGTGAGAAACCTCTGCAAACAAATCAGAGATTGAGTGAACTGTTTGAATGAATCAAACTGAATCATGAACTATTTCAGACCATTTTCTAAACATGTCTAATTAGATCAATAGTGATTCATTCACTATTCTGGCATTAGTTCTAATTCCAAACAGCAGATAGAAAACACAAGGGACATAAGGAAAACAAACATACTCGGGCGAGTATGTTTATCAATATCATAGAAGGATTAATCAGCAATATTTTACTGGGGCACAGTGTGAATTACAAAAAGGGTCCAGCGACTCCCCCAGATCTATATGATACAAAATAATAATAATAATAATAATAACTCAGCGATCTGCATTAAAATAGTATTTTAAAGGCAGCAAATTGGTTTTGGTTTAGGCCTATTTTTATTTGATTTAATTAGTTTTAATAACATACTTCATTTTATTTTTACATGGTCATCAGATAATTTTACACTTGCACAATAATTTCGCCAATTTATTATCTTCGAAATGTGGGTGATTTCAGTGAGCAAATATATGAGTCAGTACATGCAAGTGAATCAGTGAATCAATTCTTGGATCCAAAAACATGTTCGTTCATGAACCAAATAATTGGCGTCAACATGCCAAGTTTGAGCAAAATCTTAATTGTAGCCAGCTAGGCAAAGTTTACAAATGGCATTGTTTTTATCTAGTTCATTACTGCCCGACTTACTTTTAGAACCAAAGTGCTTCCACACGTCGGCTCTGAAAGCTGCAGGCGTTTTTAACCACGGTGTAATCCATCAGCTGGAAGTTGAAGCCTCGTGGGAGCCGCCATTGTAGCAGAACTTCACCTGCTGTTAGCATCCCATTGACTCCCATTCATTTTGGCGTCACTTTGACAGCGAATAACTTTACATCTGAGGCGTCCAAAGACTTAATTTGTCCATTATTTATTTCTAAAGAAACACGACAATAGCTATGTTTCCATCCACACGTTTTTATCCGCATTAAGTGATATCGAATGAAAAATGCCTTATGGAAACAGTAAAATTCGATTGAATTTCATGAATATCGACTTAAATGAAATACGATCGGTCTCATCGGATTTTATCTTGATCGATGTACGGCTTATGCGATAAACGCGGATGGAAACGTTATTATGGTGCGATCCATTTTGCCTAGTAAAACTTTGTTCGCAAATGTTGGCTTGAATGTTGTGCAATTCGGTGAGAAATTGAATGGAAACACCTTAACATGTCTCAAATCAATTCGATATACCAATTTGATCGCAAAACAGCATGTGACGTCATTACGCACAGGTTTTTATCCGCTTTAAAACCGTTTGATGGAAACACACTTTTACCAGCTTTATTCGCATGAGGTTTTTTACCGAACTTCAGATATTTCGATTGACAAGTGGATGAAAACATGGCTAATGTATAAAATGCTCCATTACTTTGTATCTTACGTTACGGCCCCGTAGAAGACGTTTTTGTAAAAATAGGCTAAAGATTGCGTCATAACCACGGGACACTCTGTCGCACAATAGAGAAATTCCGTATAGACAGGAGGAGAAGCTCGCAGGCAATCTTTTACTGTCTATGAGGCAATCGGGGGGACATGGAGGCACAAAGTCAAGGTAGAAGCCCATAGTTAGAGAGTCCATAAAAGCAACGGGACAAAATATTTCAAGGGGCTTCAGATTTGTCTTGGCACAGCTACTAGAAGATTTACAACTGTCAGGCTGTCGTCACGCTCAGTTTGAGCCTGCGCAGTCGCTCAGACATCAGACAGGAAGTGCAATAATCGGGCTTCAGTCTTCTCCGTTGAAATCAATGGGGTCGCTGTGTCCATTTCTTTTACTGTCTATGGTTTTTAAATGTTCCGTCATTTTCTCACTCTCGTTTACTTCTGAGGCATTGGCAGTATATGAGAGACATCTGGACGCGTCACGGAGACCGGTGTCTGCGCGCGAGAGAGACCGAGTGTGTCCGAGCATTAGTATGCGTGCACTATTTTTAAAATGTATAAATATCGATACTAGAGGTTGAATTATCGATACACTATCATGAAAAAAAAAAATATTGCAGAAGTTAACTGTATCGATATTTTTGCACAGCCTCAAAATTCTTCATAGGTCTGGTTTGGGCGTAACGTGAAATAAACCAATCAGAGTGTCATCTCACATTCCCTTTAAAAACAGGCGCGCTTGTTCCATGGTGGATTGGTATTATAACGGCGGATTTGCCAGGCGCACTCCAGGAGCGGTTCACAGCCGAGGAGACCAACGTTCTCGTCAGGGCCGTAAAACACAGAGAAGTGATATTGGGATGGGATAAACCCACTCAAATTAGCTTTGGTTAAACAGGCGTGTAATTTGGGTAAATGTGTAAGCTAGATTTATGCCTATTTTTTCACATCTTCATGGAAAAGTCCGCTGTGCGCGGGTGCAAATAGGAATGATACATGCGTCGGTGTACAAAGTCAATTGCGCCGGGTGCAAGATAGGGCCCTTATTGTTTATTTCAAGCGCATATGTCAAACATAAATTACAGCTGTTGTGTCAGAGAATGAATATGTGCATCAGATGTTCAGAAGACAAGACTTCTGCATAGAAAACCCTCATGCTTCCTCACTCAATCCTTGATGAGATGGTTCCTCTCTCCCTTCACAATGCAATTGTTACGTACTTCATCATGGTGGAGTTTGATTGTTTTCAGGGTCATGAGCTGAAGGATTGAGAAACAAGGAAGCATTAATTTGTCCAGTGTGTCTCGTCATGTCAAAAGCATTTTGGACCCATAATAACTGAATACTTAAGCTTG